TGCATACCCTTAGTGTTTCACCTCTGTGTGTTGGGGTCAGATTGGACACAATTCCTGTGCTGTGTCTCCAGTGTTGTGCCCCGTAGTGTTATGGGTCAGTGAGAGATGCTGTGCCTGGTAGTGGGTCCGGCCCTATGGTTCTCTCTGTGCTTTGGCTGCTCTGAGCAGGAATACCGTCCTCAAGGCTTGGTGGGCCAGGATATGCCTCACTCTCTCTTCCTCCCGCTTCATTTGCTCCTGTGTGCTCTGATCAGACATGTCCCTCTCCCTGAGCTGCAGCTTCAGTGCTGTCCTCTGAAGTGAATTCTTCTCAGGGGTGAGGGGGAAGCCCATGTAGTTGGGATTGGGGCTGGCCCCTCAGACCTCTGTATTGGTTCCTCTTTTACATCTTTTAAATGACCCTTTTGTCCTTCATGTATGATGTCTTTGATGTCATCACACCACCTGCTTGATATCTGGTATTTGATATTTGGTCATTAGTGTTCAATGAGCTCAGTCTGTTCTTGAGATGGTCCCTCAATCCGGGTGATGTTACACAATCTGCCCCAGTTATATTTCTCTCAAACTCATTGCCATTGAATCGATTCCAACTCATGCAGACCCTACAGGACAGAGTAGAACTGCCTCTCTGGGTTTCTGAGATTATAACTCTTTTTGGAATAGAAAGCCTCATCTTTCTCCTGTGGACTGGCTGAGGGTTTTGAACTGTTGACCTTGCGGGTCACAGCCCAACTTGTAACCACTATGTCATATAACAGACCTTGTGATATCACCCTTTCTCATTTGCTGCATTTATATTATAGTCTTTGGGTCTTATATTTAAAAAGGAATCCATATTTCCCTTTTTACTATTTAATTTTTTCAAAGGCCAATTCCTGGTTAAAATCCTGTTCAAGCTTCTAAAGTTTATATATCCACAGTATGGACATATGAAGTACATAATTCATTATACGAATGTTAAAAGAGCCCGTGTCAAATGCACATCAGTGTATCGATCATGGCAGGGCGGGAGGGGAGGGCGGAGGGGGAGATCCAAAGGTGCATCAGGTGTGGGCCTCCCTTGAGCAGATTTTGAAATTCCATATTGTTGCTTAGCTAATACATTGATTGGTTCTTCAACAGATATTTTATCAGAGTAACAGATGCCGAAACCGGGTGACCTCTAGAACTTCCAGTGTTGGTGTAGAAACTCTGCGTTCTGGATGACCCCCGTGGTGAATGAGTCATGTTGGTTGAGAAAACAGGGGCTGAGGCAAGAAGACAGAGGGAAATGAAACACTGTTTATTAGGAGAGCCCTTTAATCTCAAGCTAATGAAGCCCCCTAGTGGTGTGTTACGTAATTTAAGATTGTTTGAGCATCCGCAGCCACTGGGTACGGTTATGTGGGACTCGGACCACTTTTCCTCTCCTCCCCAAGCAGGGCCCCTTCCATTGGGGGTGACACAGGGCTGTGCCCGTATTTGATTCATACGCTGCTTTGTACCAAGAGGATTTTTAAAGCAACTTACGGTGAGCCCAGAGAGAGAGAACAAAATTACAAATAATGACATAAAAAGTAGATTAAAATGAAGACTCGTTTTAAAAATGCCTACTAAATAAACCTCTTCTATCTTCCCTAAAGGGTTCAAAATTTTTCAGGTAAGGGAGGCAACTGGTACGTGTTGAAATTCAGTGCCCAGAAAGATAATTTTCTGGAAAAGGAAAACTGTACTGAATTGTAAAAGCACAGAAAATTGTGTTCTCTGGGCCCTCACAGGTAGGGTGCTGAATCACGTGAGGTACGATGTGTTCCGTCCTTCTGGTAGAACATTCATCGCGGCAGTCTGAGTCTTGGAGAATTGTTCAATGTGGTCACCTCCGATTTGGGGGGTGGATGGGTACAAGCCAAGCTCTGTTCTGAGGGCTTGTATTCCTTCGTGCACTCCTCTCCCTAAGCCCGTGAAATGGTTGTTGCGGTGTGCCAGTGAGCCCGTTCAGACTCCTGGCCACCCTGTGGGAGAGAGCAGGCTGCCCCGTGCTGTCCTCAACTGCAGCCTTGACGAGAGCAGACTGACCTGTCGTCCTCCCAAGGAGCCGCTGATGGGTTAGAACCACTGACCTTTGGATTTGCCGTGCCTGGAAGTAGGAGATGAAGCAACTGAGACACAATGTAGTTAAGAACTTGTGCCAAGTCGCACTGCTAATAACTGATGTTACTGGGACTCAAACCTCAGCAGGCTACCTCGAACTCCTGTCAGTCCTTTCCACGAGGTTCTGAGTGGCCAGCTAAGTAACGTATAAAGCCCATTCACTGAAAACAGTTCTTGAAGTCCCCATCCCACCCCGTGAGTGATGGCTAGGGGAATTTGAGAGCTGCATTTGAACATGACGGTAAAGAAGAAGTTGCCTATTTCGAGATGCTTAACTTTGTGCTCTTCTAGCCTCACAGATTCTATCCCTCGCTTCGATCATTATGCACTCACGTGAATGCAAATGCACACACACACAGTGGTCATAAAAAGGGACCAGGAGAGTTTTCAAATTCATCGCTTCCTGATGGCTAGGAAATAGTTGAACCCCTGTACCTTTTTTATGACATATCTCTAGACGGAAGACCTGACATGGAGTCATAACAAAATAGACTTTTCTTTTGCAACGTGAGAACAAACCGCGTGTGATGGCAGCTCACCAGCTTCCTTTGCAGCGGTCCTGAAGTTGATTAGTAAGGAGCGAGGCATGCCTGAGAGCAGCGTGCCAGGAAGGCGGCTTCACTGAGACTTCTTCTCTGAGGGGAGTCAAAATGTCATCTGACTTGAGTCATAAGCCGAGCACTTAGAATGTTGTTCTAAACTGCGCAGTAGCATAGTTGCAGGCTTAATAGCTTGGGGGGAAATGAAGAAAATATATAGTCTACAAAATGTTCTGTATTGCCAGGTCTCCTTGAAAACAGAATCCCACGGTGTTTTAAAGGCATGCTTAGCTCCAAGAAGGTTCTGATGCTCCTGAAAGTTTCAGGTACCTGTGGGGCCAGCATAATGGCCGGCAACCCTTATGACTGAGAAAGGAGGTTTTCAGATTGATAACCTTTTAAGAACTCCGCTCCTGGATGCTAGCGAGACCCATCCTACAAAGGGGATGTGAATGAAGCAGAGATGCTGAAATGTGCTGATGGAACGATTGCCTGGGAATTCAGACACTTTGGGATTCCCGGTTCTCTTTTATTCTGATAACAAAAGGCACCTTTTTAAAAAAAAATCATTTTATTAGGGGCTCATACAACTCTTATCACAATCCATACACACATCTATTGTGTAAAGCGCATTTGTACATTTATTGCCCTCATCATTCTCAAAACATTTCCTCCAGTTTACAAAAGGCATCTTCAATTCTTTGTGTTTGTTTTCTTGTGTATTAGCCTCTCATGAACTTTGGAGCCAGGCCTGGGTTATCATGCTACTTCTGATACCTGTTAGAGTGCTAGTCGGTGAACTTCTTTGGAGCTCACTTTCAGTGGCCTTCTAGGGTGGTTCTTGGGCTCTCCCTGGGTGCAGGTAGTTGCTTTTACCTGCCTTCAATCCCCGTAACCCTCGGATGAGACATGTTGACCATTCTCAGCCCAGCTTCACAGCTGGAAACACTAACAGAGAACATAGGTCATGTGAAAAATCTACATAAGGCAATTTGATGTCCAGGGACCTGTCACATGGCCCGGAGCAGGTTCCCCAGAAACCTGGCATTCCCATTGACGACCCCTTCCCAGCTTCTCCTTTCCCCTCTCCATTCAGGCAGGCTCTGAAGAGACCTGCCTCTTTGGACAACTTGAAGTTCAGGACTGAGACAGCCGCTTAGAACAAAGAGTATAAAGTAAAACCTGATTTTCATTTTTCTTACAGGCATGGCAGAAGCTCAACTACGATATCTGTGCCCTGAGGCAGACTCGAAGGGAAGTGAGAAACAGATGGAAATGCGTTTTGGAAGAGTTAGGTGAGTCGGCAAGAGACGGTGACACGGTGAGGCGAACATAGTCCTGATCCCCACGCTGCGCTTTCTCCACCGTGATTTCTATAAAAGGAGCGTCAATAATAGACCAATTAAAGCACACAGCTCACTAATGGTTTTCCCAGTCTGCTTTCCATCTCTCCTTGAGCACAATCTTCTGTTCTTTCTGTTGCCACCAGACCGTGTCTGGAGGACCCACTCTGGCCCTCAGGTAGGGTAGCCCCGGGCAGTGGAGCCCTGGGACTGGCCAATGAGCAATCACTTTAGAAGACAAGGCAACTGCTAACCTCAGACTCACTACCATGGAGTCCGTCCCACTCGGAGTGCCATGGTAGGAAGAGCCGAATGGATTTTCTGAGGCTGTAAATCTGTGTGGGAGCAGACAGCCTCACCTTTCTTATTTAAAAAAAACAAACAATTTTATTGACATATAATTAACAAATCCTACAATCCAATAATTCAGTCACATCAACAAGAATTGTACAGCGTCATCGCAATCACTTTTAGAACATTTTCTTTGTTCTTTTATTCATCATTTTTTTAATCGTTTTATTAGGGGCTCATACGACTCTTATCACAATCCATACATACATCAGTTGTGTAAGGCACATTTGTACATTCATTGCACTCGTCATTCTCAAAACATTTGCTCTCCACTTAAGCCCCTGGAGCCTCACCTTTCTTGTTCGGAGCAGTTGTGGGTTTGAACCACCAACCTTGTGGTTAGTAGCCCAATATATAACTCACTCTGCCACCAGAACTTCTAACAAGGCAGGTTGAGGAAAATATTGTCTGTAAGAGAGGCAATAAAACTCAGAATAGAATTTCAGAAGGACCAGAAGGAAGCGAAGCTTTAAAATTGGGGAAGTTATTGTGGTATTACGTAGAAATTGGGTATTGGCTTTCTTCATTCTATTAGGGTTGTCCCATCGTAACATAAGCTTGTTTTGATGTTTGAGAGGTGAATTTATAAACTTTGCAGTGCTTCGTCCTTCTGCTTTGTAGGAGAACATGCTCCTTTGGTGTTACAGCTCTTCACGAGTGAGTGCAGAGTTGCTGGCCCCTATGCTTGAGTTGGTATGTGAAGGGCATGGGACCAGGCCTTGACCCATTTTGCTCACCCAATAGTCATATGAGCTGTGTTAGTCCAGGTTGACTAGAGAAACAAATTCATAGACATTCATGTGTGGATAAGAAAGAGCTTTATAGAAACGAGCAATTTTATATTCAGAAAACATCCCAGCCCAGATCAAGTCCATAAGTCTGGTAGCCCATATATCTGATACTAGTCCATAAATTCCTCTTTGGATTCACACAGCCATGCAATGATGCTGAATGCAGAAAGATCACAGGCCAGCGGGCAGAAAGTCTTGTGGATCCGGTGGTGGTGGAAGCATCTGAGCACTGGCATGGGTCTCCATGTGGCTCCTCCAGCTCCAGGGCTCTGACTCCATCAGTGTAGCTCCATGTGGCTTGTCACCAGGAATGTCTCGCAGAGAGTGTGTGTCCCGCCTCCAGGGAGGAAGACAGGAGTTCCCTGAATCCTCAGGAGAACACCATGCCCACACAGAGACTTCATTGGCTATGACCTGATTGACGGGCTAGACTCCACCCCTTCCTCAAGTTGACAGTAGATTATGTAACTGCCAAACGAGTTAGCAGTCTCTTTTTCACAGTGCATGTTCTCATAGAGAGCTTTCAGCCAATGTGTCTTTTATATCATTGGGTGACTTATTTTAACCAGCCAACCACCCAGAGGACTCTGAGTTTGGAGTCGTAGGGTAGGGGCACAGAGGTGGGCTACTCTGGATAGTAAGGGTGAGATGGGAACCGTGAGGTTGAGAAAGGAGGTCAAGATGGCAGTAGAAGGAGGATATCAGACAGACAGACAGACAGACAGACAGACAGACAGACAGATCAAACAAACAAGCAGGGAGTAAGCAGTCAATGGGTAAGTATCTGAGGCTTAATCTTTGTCGAAACACACCATTTCTTAAGAAGAAAGGCTAAGAATTTTGATGAAAGACCCTGCTGGTCACAGGGAGCTAGGAGCTGCTCAAGGAGGGGTGCTTTGGGCTTCAGATTTCTGATGGCCTTGGTAAGGCACCCTGCTGGTGCTGTCGGGTAAACTCTGGGCTGTTAGCCACAAGATGGGTGGTTCAAACCCAGCTGCCACTGTGGGAGAAAGAAAAGGCTGTCTGATTCCATAAAGACAAAACCATAAAAGCCCTGTGTGGGGTCACTGTGAGGTGGTACCTCTGGTATATGCTTCAGGACATCGTTGTTTTTTTTTTGCCTGCCTTCTTTTACACGAGGGCTATTATTTTTACCGTAGGTTTCCAAAGGGAAGTCGATTCCTTGCTGTCAGTAACTAAACTCAGCACCATCAGTGATTCTAAGAACACCAGGAAAGCTCGGGAAATGTTGTTGAAACTGGCCGAAGAGACCAGCATTTTCCCGGCAAGCTGGGAGCTCTCAGAGAGATACCTCATCGTGGTGGTAAGTGGAGGGGTTTTTCCATCGTCCTCATTCGGCTCGACATGTGTGCCTTTCCTGTACAACACGTGGAACAGCGCCGCCTTGTGTCTGAAACACACACCACTCCCTCCAGCAGGGGTGGCAGATGGATGGTGCTGGCAGCGCCCCCTGGTGGTCACTGGCATCAGGATCACCTGGAGGATTTCGGAATCACCTTTACACCTATTGAGGCCTGAGCTATGGCTCCAGAGCCTGTATTTTTGGCTGCTTTTGTTCCGTAAGCAGCTTCTGGGCCATTAGTCAGAGAGAGGAGAAACGCTGTTGATGCAGCCTAAATTGGAAAAAGATTTAGAAATAACTGAAAGTGGTGAAGTGTTATCCCTTAGGTGACTGAAAGGGTTAATGTCTGAGTCTTAACTTGGCTGAGAAAAATTTAGCACATTATTTTATTTCTAAGGGTGGATTTTGTTGTTAGTTGGTGTTTTCCCTCCCCCCCCCCCCCAACACACACACACACACACACACACACACACACAGACACACACACACCCCCGGCATGGTAAATCTTAGCCTGGCTCCTATCTTGGAGATGGATATATGTAATTTCTCGTTCTCGCTCTCTCTTTGTCGGGGGGCAGGATCGTCTCATCACTCTGGACGCTGCAGAGGAGTTCTTTAGAATGGCCAGTCGAACTTATCCCAAGAAATACGGAGTCCCCGGCCTGGCAGATGGCCAGAAGGAACTGCCCTGCCTTCCAGTCCCCAGTCCCTAAAGGAAAGGCCCGGAGACAGAATTGGAAGTCTTTCACCGGGACTCAGCCACCAACCCCAGCTGGACGATTGCATGGAGAAGACAGCGAGCAAGTAGAAGACGTGCTGAGTGAAAGATGAAGGATTCTGCCTCCTGCAGAAACCTAAGGGTCCGACTATCTGGTCTTCATGGGACCTTACTCTAGGAACTGTTCAGATTGTGTTGAAACCCCCCGGTGATCTTGTACCTTGAAAGAGCGTTAAAAGTGGTGGTCAATGGGAAATTTTGTCATGTGTGCTTAAATTCCTAGAAGCACCCATGGCACCCGTTTTTGTTTGGGTGGTCTAATAGCCTCCTCCCATGAATCCTATTTGGACCATGGCATGTTCTACTTGAATGAAATGGTATGGTTTAATAGAGCCCAGATTTGTATCACCCACTTCTAAGTAGTTAGTTACACAGCACCGGTTACCACCTGCACCATCTGAGGCATAATGTGCCCTTCTCCGATTGGGAAGCACCAGCAGAACCCTGGAGGGTGTCGGTGGGTGTACCGGACAATAGATGTCTGGGAGCGCTGCTCAGAAGTGGGTTCCAAATAGAATGACTCCCCAGAGAACTTCCTGTAGCCATGTGTAAACTCTCTCTTCAGTTGGGGGGCAGCTTCTTAAATTTTCACCTGATGGTTAGCAGTGACCTCATTTTATACGAGTCCATTTCTAGTGTAAAAATACGTCCTATTTTATCTGGGATAGGAGCTGGTAGGTGAAACGCCACCACAGCCCTTTCTTGCGTTAATCTGTTTTCAGCCTGTTGATGGAGAGCCGAACCAGGCCTGGGTCCTTCTTGCAAGCTTGTGTGCACGGGCAGTGCTGCACTGAACGCCACTTCAGGATCCCCCATGCGGGGCAGCGTGGCAAATGCACTCGGTTTCTTTACACAGCCTGAGAAATCCGCTTCAAAAGTTACTCACCTCTTAGGGAGATTGTCGGGATAGCATGGTTCTTTCATGGAAAACACAC